CTCTGAGAAGAATGGGAATCCCAGAACATTTGATCGTGCTTATGTGAAACCTATACTTGGACCAGGAGGCAGTCGTCAGAACAGAGCAAGGAAGCATGATTGAAAATTGGGAAAGGTATACACCAGGGATGTGTACTATCTCCATACCTTTTCAATCTATGTGAAGAACAGATCATCTGGAAGGTTGGGCTTTATGAGGAAGAGTGTGGGATCAGGATTGGAGGAAGATTCATTAACAACTTGTGCTTTGCAGATGACACAACTCTGCTTGCTGAAGCAGAAGGACCTGAAGAGCTTGCTGCAGGTCAAAGACTGCAACCTTCAATATAGATTGCATCTCAACAACAAGAAAAGATTCTCAGGCAAGCTCTGGTGGCCTAGTGGCAAGAAGCTGTATTGCAATCCCAGAGGTGCGTGGTTCGAATCCACCAGATCCTGTGCTGGAGAAGGAGGGACAGTCTCCTCCTGTACCACCAGTCAGATCTGATATGACGATAATAATTCTCACCACTGGGCCAATTGGCAGCATTGTGATAGACAGTGATGAGATTGAAAGGGTTAACAGCATCAGTTTACTTGGGTCCACAATCAACACTCTTAATACCAGCAGTTAGGAAATAAAAAGATGAATTGCATTGGGAAAGTCGACTGTCACTGACTTCTCCAGAGTATTTAAGAGCAATGATGCTGGTCTGGAGACTAAGATGTGCCATAGTTTTTGCAGTTACTGCATCAGAAAGCTGGACAATGACTAGGGATGATAGAGAATTGATACCTTTCTGAGCTGTGATGCTGGACAAGAGTATTGAATACACCATGAACTGCCAGGAGCAAAAACAGGTTCATCCACGAGAGAGTAAAACCAGGCTGCTCCTTGGAGGCAAGGATACTGAGCCTTCATCTGACATACTTTTGGTATATTGCAAGGAGGGACCAGTCCTTGGAGAGGGAAATCATTCTTGGAAGATGAAGGACAGTGTAAGAGAGGAGGACCCTCCGTGAGATGGACTGATTTAGTGACTGGGGTAATGAAGGTGGATGTGTCAGAGACAAAACTTGCACACGATAGAGCAGGTTTCAGAGCTGTTGTACATAGGGTTGCTGTGAGTCGCAAGTGACTCAACGGCAAGTAACAACAACAGCAACAGTATTTTCTTGCTCTGTTTGGACAACAGCTTCTTGGTCTACATACAGGTTTTGTAAAAGCATTTTTCTCAATGTTAGCCATGATTTGTTTGATCCACACAATCAAATGACTTTGCATTTGTCAATGAAATAAACCAATACAGTCAATAAAATGCAGACCTTTTCATGGTATTCTCTGCTTTCAGTCAGAATCTGACATCAGCAATGATATCCCTGGTGCCACAGCCTCTTTTAAAACCAGCTTGAACTTCTGGCACTTCTCTGTCCATACACTGTGCTGTTTTGGGAAGATCTTCAGCAGGATGGTAGTATTTGATGATTTCCATATTCTGTTGGATCATCTTTCTGGGAATGGGAACAAATAATGTGTTTCTTCCAGTCAATTAGTGAGGTAGCTGTCTTCCACATGTCCTAGCACAGATTGGTGAGCACATCTAGGGCTGCATTACAAAGTCTGAACATGAAATGAGCATAGAGTTTTAGCCTTGTGGATCTTGCTTTTAAGTGTGGTTTGGTCGAGTATGACTAATAGGGACCCTATGCACAGCCGATCTGAGCCCTGTCCAACCTTAGGGCATCCCTAGCACCTGTGATAGACTTGGTCTCATTGCTGTAGTCACTGTGTCAGTCCATCTCATTGACGGTCCCCCTTTCCAAGCTTGATGGAGGCCTATAGACACATGTAAGCTGGGTTCAGGAAGAATTCTTGTAATTAACTTTTTTAAAAATAATATATATATATATATCTAAAAAATTATAGATTTCTGCTGAAACATTGCATAAATGGTTTCTAGGCCATCATTTTGGTGTCACCCCTCTGTCCACACACCCCCCTCCCCACTAGTGACACCACTGCACCTGGGACCCGTCTACCTTGCCTGAAGGTGAACTAGCTGTCAGGTGGATTCATCATGAAAGTAAGTGATAAAGTTTTCCTTTCTCACTCATCTCTCACTTGCTCAGGCCTCTTCCAAGGTTGTGGGTGTAGCCTTACCCATTCTGTAATTCTCGTATTCTCTCTCTCTGTCTCTCTCTTTTTTTTTAATTGTAAAAAACATGTATGAGGATCCAAGGGAATAAGGAGTGGGAGCAAAAGGGTGAGGATGGGTATGGATGAAATCACAGGGTTGCACAATTTGGTGGAGGGAGTGGATAAAGGAAATGAGAAAGGCCTGGTGGGGACTAGAAAAGCCAAGGTAATGGGGGCACAGTCCAGTGGTGATTAATTTTTTTTTTTACAAATATATTGTCTTTTTTTATTTGTGGGTTTCCCATTTGGGAATAGGGTCATAAACTCTAGCTACTTTATGCTGAAGAGGGGCACTGAGATGAATGGGAAGGGGAGCCCATTTTAACACTTTCCTGGTGGTCTTGAGTTGAAGCTGCAAGTCTTCTTATTCAGTTAGAAGATATTTCCCTGACATTTTCTGCCCTCTGGCCTGCAAGGTATTTGCATGGGTGAGTCCAGTGGGAGTGGCTTGCTGAACTTTGAGGCTCCATCCACCTTTGCTTCTTTAGCTGGCAATTTTATTTCCCTTTTGTCTCTGGAACTGGTCTCAGAATTCAGGTTCTGGAACAAGACTCAGTGTTCTGGCTACCTGTAGGAAAAGGAGCAAACCTAGGGAGAACAAACTTAAGAGTTACAGAGAAAAGGGCTTTTGAGGTATTACTTACAGGTGTACTGAAGGAGGAGATGGAGGAAAGTGGCTTAAAGTTCCTCATATACACCAGACACTCTCCATGACTGCTCCCCCCACCCCACAAGGCTCTTTTGAGGACCTTGAAACTTGCCAAGAACCGCAGGAGGGACAGCAATTCTGGCTCTTAGCACCACCACCATTGCCCCCTTCTTCTCCGCCAAGTGGTCTAATTGTAACTCGAAGTTGATATTATTACTTTCCCTTTTCACAAATGGAGAAGGGGCTTCCAGCATGGTGAACAGACTGTCTCAAGGTTGAAAAAGTAATAAAGGCAGTAGAAGAAGGACTCAAACCAAGGTAGTCTGAAGGCTGGCCATGAGGCTGTGAACTCCACGCAACACTCGGGTCGGCCATCTTTCATCTTCCTCTGCAAGCAAAATCCTGCTGAAGATTATTTTTGAAATGGCCAGAAGAGTCCACTTAGGGTGTGTGCAGGGCACTTTCCAAGTTGCCAAATCACATAAACCCCAGGCTCCACAAAAACTGGTTGCCCCTGCTCCGTGGGACCTGGACACCTCAATCAATGATCACAGCTTTACTTGCTGAGGGGGTTTACTGCCTGTACTCCACAAAGCCCTTCTCTGCAGCTCTTGGGGATCCATGGTCATTCCTATAGATAATTAGAAAAATAAGAGGGTTTCCTTTCTCTGGACTTGGTAGGTCTGGAGCTATGCAATGCCGTGAGATACTTGCACTAAGATGGGCTCTGCAGCTTCCCTGGTGCCTGGCCTTTAAAATGAAGCTCTGTGTGTTAGATAACTTCTCCAAAGACACACCCCTTTCTTGATTTGCTTTTCCACTGCTGTAGCCATTAAGACACCATTAGACAAAGCCACAGCCCAGACGAATGATACATATAAGGAGGAAAAGCTCTGTGCTGAGCCTGCCTTCCCTTCCATGCATGTGCTGGTATGTGACTCGAGCCCTTTATTGAGACGTGCTGACATCTCAACAGCACAAGACCCCTCTGCGGTTCATGTGAAACCAGTCCTCTAACAACTGACTCTGTGACTCCCAGCCCCTTGAGCCAGAAAGTCTTCCAGAAAAACCAGTGCCCATGGCTGCCTTCTGGGTCTCTTCCTGCATCTTTGACCATGGCTGCAGATTCAAATATGACTGCAGCTGACTCTAATTAAATACCTTTCCTTCCTTTCATTAGTCCTGACTTGAGGTTATGGTCAGTTTATCTCACTTCAACGGGCCATCTCGAGGCCTTGAAATCTAATAGCAGAGCCTGGGAGGGAGTCTCACCTTCACATACATATTTCTACTCTGTGTTTGTGTCTATAAAATATTCTGAATGCTGAAATGGAAAAACTATGGAAGTGGCCCCAAAGTGCTCCAAGAAACATTGCCATGACTTGTTTTGTTGGATTGTTTAATGTTCTTTGCTTGTAGCTGTTTGTCAACAGCATTAACTTTTTCCCCTTTAGAAATGTGGACGATGGTTCTAGCACCCAGATACAGATTGTGGGCTTTCAGTATATTGCCCTTTTCAGGAGATACATAACCAGGGCTGTGTGGTGCTTTCTAAACATATTCAAGTCTTTGTCTCTATCCATCCTTCAACAGGATCCTTGAGCTAATATAAGTAAATCCCACTTGCACCCAGTCAATTCTGATTCACTTTGCTTTGACAAAGCAGAACTAGCCTACAGAAATTCCAAGGCTGTGAACTTTCCAAAAGTGATGGCCTTATCATTCTCTCATGGAGCATCTGGTGGGTTTGAACCACCAATCTTTACGTTGCCAAGTGAGCACCACTAAGGCTCCTCCCTGAGGTAAGGGGTAGGGGCCCCACTTCAGTGAGGATCTTGATGCCATGAAGGGCGAATTGGTTTTAGTCCACAGCCAGAGAATGAGGAGACCGGCTTAGAACACAGGCCCACCTCCAACCCTCAGGCTCTTCCCATGTGATCAAGTGCCAGACTAAAAGCAGTTCTTAAAAATCAATAAAAATCATTTATTAAAGACATGCTAATGCCAGAGCTGAAAATATTTCTTTTCATTGCCTGTTATTCTCCACTATAGTTGGGTATTGTCATCTTGCTGCTGGGTTTGTCATCTCCCTAGAGTGAAAGGAACACTTTCCTTTTAAAAAATTCATCAGTCTGAGGTCTCCGGCCGGGAAACTCCCTCAGTTCTCATGTTCCTTCAGTAGTCTCGTGCAGGGAGCGTAATCTTGCGGATGAATTCATCATAAATCACTTTGCCATCTGGTTCAATATTTGCTTCCTTGAAAAGTTCGTCTACTGCAATAAATCACATTAATTTTTCAGTTTGCCTTTAGTATTACATTATATGAGTTCTTTGGGGACTGGGTCTCCCCTCAGTGAATCTGACTGCCTGTTCTTGGGGATGAGGAATTAACTTGGTAACAGAAACGATGCCTACGCAGATTCTCCCCCCAATCCCCCGGGCCTGCCCAGCTGTGCTTTGGCCCGCTCTTGACCATCCTGCCCTCTCTTCCAGACCCCATCACGCACCACGCCTGCACACAGACCAACAGGAGGCGGCTTCGTGACAGATGGTGTCTATTACTATAATCTCTTAAAAATAGCTTGTGTTTTGGGGGGTGTGGTCAAAATAAAACCCACTGCCGTCAAGTCTGTCTGACTCATGCCCACCCATGAAAGGGTGGCTGCATAGAGGTTCTAAGGCTGCATGTAAATCTTCGTCTCAGAACACTGCCTCATCTTTCTCCCACAGAGCGGCTGGTGGGTTTGAACTGATGACCTTTTGGTTAGTAGCTCAATGCTTTTAATCATGACTCCACCAAGACTCATTACAAAGGAAAAAGAACTCCAACTGTGTCTAAAGCTCCAAGAGTACAAAACGGCCATTGCTTTCCATTGCTCGGCAAGAATCACTGCATTTGCTTGTTTCTTCTGTGTTTGCATTCTGGAACCAGATACTAGCTTGTCCCAAAACCAACTAGCTTGACAGTTGGAACTGACCCATAGCTGCCCCTCCAGCAGGTTCTCAGAGGCAATGAATAGCTCAGGAGGAGCTTGCCCATCTTTCTCCTGTGGAGCAACTGGTGGTGCAAATGTTAGCATTGTGGTTCCTTACCACTAAGCCCTCAGAGCCCCCTTGTCCCAGGCATTATTAGTAAGATCAATTTCAGCTTACATATCTTCACATCAGCCTATCTAGGCTAACCTTTAGTTCTTTGGACTATCTCAATTACTACAAGAACTCTTGACTACTGTGTGTGGGCTTCCCTAACCCCAGCACACAGAATTCTGGGCAGTTAGAAAATAGTCTGGTTCTCCACGTAACCATCCTCTACAGTCTAATTACTGTGCTGTGTGCCTAAGCTGATACCCAATCACAGAAGTTCCAGGTATTTTTAGAAAGTTGAGGAGGCTGTAATTTATCTTGTTTTACAGAGAAACTTCTACCCATCAGTCTGTTGGCTGTTGGCTAAAACTGGCCCAGTGGAGGTACCCAATGTCAGCTCCTGCATCAGCAGTGACTCCCAAGGACCCCTCCCAGCCTGTCCAGTCTGCTGCTGCCACCTTCTGCCCAGAAGAGGGTGTGTCACTTGAAAGCCAGCTGCTGGAGCTTGTGGCTGCCCGCTGGGTCATGGTGGTGCACCCTGCCTCCCTCTGAAGAGCCAGTCAACCTCCTCCCAGGCCTCGCGAGTAGGAAAACCTGCTTGGCAGCTTTCTGCAGCTGCCCCAAGAAGAATTCTTTCCCCCAACCCCCATTGTATACCATCTAATCTGATCCAACTGGTACAGGAGGAGATCTCCCCTCCTTCTCCAGCAAAGCATCTGTCTGCTGGATTTGAACCTTGAACCTTTGGCATTGCAGGAATAATTCTTTTTTTAAATTATTTTATTATTTTTTTTATCAAATCAGATCCGACTGGTACAGAAGGAGATTGTCCTTCCTTCTCCAGTAGAGCATGTGGTGGATTCAAACCACACACCTCTGGGATTGCAGTGCAGCTTCTTACCACTAGGCCACCAGAGCTCTGGAATAATTCTTAATAAAATTGAAAATGAAATAAAATTGAAGATTTTTCTTTCAGTCCAAGGAGAGAATTTCTGCTTCTGGAATCATCTTTCCTGTTTCTCACCCACTGCAGGAGGAAGTGAAACCTGTCCCCCTGCTAGTTTGGAATACATTACAATGTGGTTTTTGGTGTTGTTTTTTTTTTTAATGTGTCTTTGCTGGTTAAATACAAGTGAGATGTATGCGAGTTTGAGAGCTGCCGTGTTTGCTGTAGACACAGATCATTAACCACAAGAATTAAGCCCCTGGCTGGCCCTATATACTAACACTCCACACAGTACACAAAGGGCTGAGGTGTTTCTCAGAACGTGAGAGGGCAGGAGAACCAGCCTATGCTTTCCCTTGTTCCCAGGAAAATAACCACTGTGAAAGATGAGCTCATGATGGCTGCCAGCCTGAAAAAGCAGGGGGAAGATGAAGCCGCCTTCTGTGGCGCTATTTTTAAATGTTTTGCACCACATCTTTTTGACTGCAGATAAAAATGAAGCAGTCTGATTTATAGAGAGAGGGACAATTGTAATTTCGTCCCGTACTGAGGAATCTGAGGAGAGTGAGAGAGGTAAAAGAAATTCGTCTAAGGTCTCCCGAGAAGAGGGGGAACAAGTTCCACACCTCTGCAATCCCTCCATTCCTTTGTTGTTAAGTCAAGCACAGCTTTAATTGAAAGGCCAAAAGTTTAGGCAAAATGAATTCTTTTCCTTCCACCTGCTGGCTCCTAGTTCCAGCCCTCTCACATCAACCCAGATGGATTTAACCAGAAATCCTAGGCTTTTGGAGGTTGTGGGGACTCAAGGCAGAGACCAGGCGCTAGCCAGCCAGGCAGTGTCCTGTCAGGCTGGAAGAGCACCCAGCTGTGGGGTCACCCTTTACAGTTTACGAAGGGATTTTCCAGAGGACCTTCTGTGGCAGAAGGCAAGATAGGTTTCTGGAGGTGCAAGGAAAGGCCCCTGGTGGAGTTGCAGAACAGCAATATGGAACTAACTATTGCAGCAAAGGCCATGAGGAAAGGGGACAAAGTAACACCTAAATATGGATGCTCTTGGCATCAGCAGCAACTTGCAGGGAAAGGGACTGAGGGAGGCCGGGGTGGGCTGAAGGGAACCCAAAGCATCTGCATTCAAATCCCAGCTGTGCTGCCCACATGCACTTCACATCTTTGCTGTATCTGTATGAAGTGGACCGGAGCCCCTGAGCGGTACCAATGGGGAATACACTGCCAATGGAAACACTAGAGATTCAAATCCACGCAGAGGGACCTCAAAAGGGCCTGCTTGGTGATCTGCTTAAAAGTCAGCCACTGAAGGCGCGTAACTGAGGTCACAGGAGTGCAGTCAGCATCCCATGACAAAGACCCACCGTGAAAGTCCAGGCTCCAAGCAGGACCCATGGAGGCTTCCACTTCATGCTGCCTGTGTCTGATGGACCCCAGCACGGTTTCCCCAGGCTGGCCCTTCACTCTGACTGATCCTCCTTGCCTCTAGATCTTCACGGTCCCATCCAAAGCACCCCAAGTTTGACTGTTAGATCCAGTCCCCTGTGACCCGCATCAACTGCCTTCATCTACAAAACCCAGGTAGTGTGGCAATTAGACTCTAGCACCTCCCCTCCCAACTATTAGGAAAAGGGGTTCCAGGCTGTTACCTTCCTTCTGGGTGAGCTTCTCCCCGAGTTTCATGAGCTTTGACCGCAGCTCAGATGCCATAATGTAGCCTTTCTTCTCCTTGTCTGTCATCAACATGGCCAGGAGAATTTCTTTCTTTGGGTCTTCTTGTTTGATTTGTGTGTGCATAATGGTCAGGAAGGTAGAGAAATCCAGCTCCCCATTTTTGTCTAGGAAAGCCCCCAAACACAGCAGAGTGAACAGCATGAAATGACTCTTCTTAGGGAAAACCAACTAACTGGCCTTGAGCCCAAACTTTCGCTGAGTGGATTCCAGCTCTTAGCACCCCCGGAGGACAGACTAGAACCTCCCCTTCCTCCAAAACTCTAGTTCTAGTGGCCTAATGGTCAGGAGCTGTGCTGCCAACCCAAAGTGCTTGGTTCAAAATCAGCAGCTATTCGGTGGGAAAATGATGGCCAATCCCTCCCCTTGTAATTTGCTGTCTCTGAAAACCTGCTGGATGGTCAGCTGTGGGCCATTTCTGACTCAATGGTATGTAACAACAACAGTCTTTGTGGAAGCAGGCTAGACTGCCTCATCAATTTCCTAGGGAGCTGCCAGTGAAATTGAACCATCAACCTTTCAGTTAGGAACCCAGTCCTTAACAACTGCCCCACCAGGGCTTCTCCCAGCCAGCTCAGGTGCCCGGTGACTCAGTAGGTGGCCTGATAGTGGTGGTGCTGAGGAGGACAAGGCACCTCTGACTGAGTTCTCGTGCTGAGTCATTTGTGAGGGTGCTGTTTACTGGACTGAATAGTCCCCAGTTGCTCTTTACACTTGGCTTCTGTGATTATGGTCACCACCTCTCCCCATGGAGACAGAAGTGCAGACTGTGCAGTACTGTCCCTGGAGGGAGAACTCCCCCCCCCCCAGCTTTCCTTCTGCTCTGAATTGCAGAAAAAAACACCACATACCCACCCCACCCTAGGCCAAACTCCATTTCTCCCTCGGCAACCATCAGTCAAAGACAGTGGGAGGATGTCTCCACAAGGGTGCTCACTGCCTCCACCTGCCCAGCCTCCCAGCTGTGCCCCTCCCCAGGGAATGGTGAGGGCTGCCCACTCTTCCCCTGCCTACAATTTACAGAAGGTACCACCCTCTTCGGAGCTGAAATTGGAGATCTCGGGTAACAAATGACAGAACATCCTATCTCCCAGCCTAAGCCGGACAGGGATGAATGGTTCCCAGCAATACTGCTGCAGCCAAGCTCTATTGGGACTTCCAGTAGCCCTAGCAGACGGATAGGGAAACTGAGGTCCAGAGACTGGCAAATGGCCTCTGTGCTCCGGTCAAGTGCTCTTCTCAGGCTACTCCCTCCCCCTTGCTGACTGTGGGATGATCAAAGCAAACAGTTCTCTCCTCTCCTCTCCCCCTAATATGTTCTCTCTCTTTTTTCCCCCTTAAAATCAGTGCCATTTCTGAGAATAAATGCACAATGTGTTCCCATTGTGGGAAACCCAGGAGAGAACCAAAGAGGGAATGGAAATAATGCCTAATCCCATCGCCAGAGGGACCTGTGTGCAGGGTGGTGGGTGAGTTTCTTCCTACTAGTCCTGATTCCACCCCTGGCTTCAGAACTTGGACAAGTTATCCAGCAGCCCTGCACCTTGCCCTTCTGGGTCCAGTGGGGATTCAGACAATGTTTGAGTTGTCCCGGGCATGATAGGTAAGTCTTAACTAAGGGCAACTTTCCCTTAGAAACAAAACTGGGACCACTTAATGGGTACTGCTTTGAGCACAGGTTTGTTATAAGCTTGTTGGAATGACTAGACTCTAATGTCCTCTCTTGAAGGGGGGGCAGGCATCCCAGGTGTCTGTGAGGAAGCACAGTGACACTAGAGCATGTGGCCGGGTGCCCCCCCCAGCTCAGTCCTGTGAGTTCTGAAGACCAACTCCCCTCACACATCTGAGAGGTGTCCAGACCCACACCCCCTTGGCCCTGCATCCCTCCCTCTCCCCCACAGCCCGCAATGGCCCAGGTGACTTACCTATGTGGTGAGTCTGGAGGTGCCGCTGCACCTCCCCTGGCGTGGGACTGGCCCCCAGGCATCTCAGCACCACTATGAGGTCAGAAGCTTTAATCTTCCCCCTCTGCTGCTTGTCGTACAGTGAGAAGCACTCCTTGTACTCTGCACACAGCACAGCCCCAGAGAAAATCAGCCTTGACCTCCCCTTCCCGCCATCCTGCACCCCTTCCCTTTGCCCCATGCCCCTCTACTCCCCTCTACTCCCCTCCTCTTGTCCTTCACCTCTTCCTCCTCTCTTCCCCTCTAAGGGTTGCCAGATTTAGCAAATAAAAATACAGGCCTGTCACGTTGAATTTCATTTCCAATTAAATGATGAACGTTCTTAGTATGTTACAAATAGCAAGTGGAACATGTGCACATTAAACAAGCATTTGCTGTTTTGATTTGATATTTGCCTTGCATTTTATCTGAGCTCTGTCCTTTTGCCCCACTTGGTGAAATGGGTGTGCAGTGAACTGCTAAGCAAATGGTCCATGGTTGGACCCACGAGCCACTTCCCCTTGCCCCTCCCCTAGTTTCTTTCTCCCTTCCTGCCTTCCTCTTCCTCTTCTCACTTCTGCCTTCTGCCTTTCTCTCTCCCTTCCCTTCACCTCTCCTTCTCTCCTCCCTTACTGGCTATTGTTGTTATGTGCCATTGAGTTGTTAAGTCTCCTGCTCATAGCGACCCTATGTACAAGCATTTTGAAGCCTGTACTGTCCCAAGCCAATCTCACCGACTCCAACACACCTACTCCCATTACCCCAGTTAGTGTGTCAGTCCTTTTCATCCAGGGTCTTCCTCTACTGCACTGTTCCCTTACCCCTCTGAGCATGATGTCCTTCTCCAGGGATTGGTCCCTCCTGACAACATGCATCTCCAAAGTTCTCCTGCCTTCCAGAAAGCCCAGGAACAGGGACAAGACACTCAGACTTTGCAGACCACAGTTTATCTTGAGCAATAAAGCCTCACGTTTACTTCATTCTCCTCCCATGCAATTTACAGGCTCTGAAGGCCCACTGGATGGTCAACTATGAGTTGGTTCCTAATTGGCAGCAGTGAGTTGAGTTGATTTAAGTTACTTTGAGGACCAGAAATTGCCTCTGAAAAGGTCTGGCAGGGAACGGCTGTCATCACTCTATAACATCACTAACCTATTGCCCTTAAATGATTATGATTTATGGTGACCCCTGTGTTACAGAGGAGTTCCTTGGTTCATCTGCTATAACCTAAAGCTTGTCAGTTCACAGAAGTTCTTCAGGAGAAAGACCCAGAAGTCTGATTCTGTAAAGATTGTTGTTATGAAGAGTCATGGAGTTGACTGCAACTTATCAATCACAACTCATCACCACCCTATAAACAATGGATCTGAAGCTCGCCCTATCGTGCATGCCCTACCACTGTTCCTGGCACGCTGAAGCCCATTGTTATAGTCACTGCCAATCCGTCTTGTTGAGGGTCTCTCACTCTTTCTCCTACCCTCCACCTTTCCCCAAAATGATGTCTTTTTTTCCCCAAGGACTAGCCCTTCCTCACAACATACCCAAAGTATGTGAGACAAAGTTTCACCATCCTTGCCTCTCAGGAACACCCTGGTTAAACTTCCTCCAAGACAGATGTGTTTGTTCTCTTGGCAATCCGTGGGATATTAAATATGCTTTTCCAACACCACAATTCAAAGGCATCAATTCTTTCTCCATCATCTTTATTTACTGTCTATTTCCAGAGGTTTAGTAAGTAATTGAAAAGAACATGGCTTGGATCAGGTACGTCTTAGTCTTTAAAGTGGCATTGTTGCTCTTTAGCACTTTAGGGACAGCACATTGTCCCAGTGTAATATGCCTTTTGCTTTCTTGATTGCTTTATGATGAAGCAGCTGGTGGTTTCAAACTTCTGACTTCTCAGTTAGCAGCCAAGTAGGGCTATAACTAGTCTAGAAAATCCTAAGAGGCAGTTCTATGCTGTCACCGGGAGTGTGACACTCCTACGAGTCTTCAATGGCTCCTGAGAAGTGACTCTAATCCAATTCTGCTTCATTTTCCAAAGCAGCCACTTGCTGGAGCCAGAGAGAAACCTGCTGGTCCAGGGCCTTTGATGGCCTCCCAGCCCCAGATTCCGCCAGCTCCAGGGACCTTGCTCTTTGCTGCTGCTTCTATTCACCCACATGGTTCCTCAGAGGCCTGGGCCAGCCTCACCCTCTCAGGTCAACTGATTGCCATTGAGTTGGGGCCAACTCATAGCTGTTCCTTTGGGAGATTGGCCATCTTTCTCCTGTGGATTCAAACCCCAGAGCCATATAGCCTTTCAGAGCAGTGCAGCTCCATACTGTCCCACCAGGGCTCCCCAGCCACCTCCTCCTTCTCGCTCATATTAACAGCAGCAACACTAATAATGACAGCTTGCACAACTGAGAGCTCTACTCCAAGGGCTTCATTTCAGCCTCACAACTAGCCCATGAGGCATGGCGGGCACATAATTTTCTGCGTTTTGCAGATGGAGCCATGACAGCTGGCGCAGTGGAGAGCCCTGGCCCAGCACTGCCACAGAGCCACCATTTGATTGGCTGCTTGACTCCTGAAGTGGAGCACTGCTCATCAGGCAGCCCTGTCTTCTCCATTCCAGGTCAGAGGGTCACCAGAGCACAACAGAGGAGGGACAGGGCCCATCAGAAAGCCTCCAAAGCTCTCCGTCTCCCCTTGCTGGGGCCCCTCTTGTTCTCTGACTAAGGCACTCAGGCCTCCCCACCTCCTGGCTGGAGTCTTTCCGGTCTAGGATTCCAAGAGGGTCACTAACCAAGGGCAGGCCAGTGGGGCTTACAGACAATGCTTGGCCTTTGTGCCTGCTGAGAGGTTGAGCAGGGAGGGCTCCCACCTGTTTTTTCTAGAACTTTCTAGAGCCTGAGCTTCTCAAAGAGGCAAAGCAAAGACAGGATCGGTTGGCAGAGACTGGATTGGCCCCAACAGAGCAGGCCTAGAGCCCGACCTTAAACTCTCACCCTTTATTTCCAGTGAAACCTCATTTCCTCCAAGAGGGGATGGCCTTGTACCACATTAGGAGACAGGGAGAGGAAACCCTATACACAGGGCTTAAACTCAGCCCCACGCCCAGGTACAGCTGCTGGGGACTATTTGTAGTCACCCCACCTTGTCCTCTGTCAGTGAGAGGTGGCCAGTCTCTCAGAGCTCAATATGATCCTTTAACTGCTGTCCCCACTGACCAGCACTGAAAGTCATGGTCACACCTTCAGCCCAGAATCTGATCTGGTTCTGTAAATGAGCACAGCAACCAGGGGCTGTCACCACCTCAAATCAGCAGAGCCAGTGCTCAGATGAAGACCACACTACCACATGCATATAATGTTACAATCTAAAATCAGTCTGACTGACTTTGACACTAAATATGACAGATAGAACCTTCCATGGTCTAGAAAGCCAGATTTGCAACCACCAGGTGACCCCTGAAAACTGACCCTGGCCTCCCCTTTCCACCACTGAGCCTACGAGATATTTTACTCCTTTTCTTTGTAGTGGGGGGTTCTGGTGTTGCAGGAGTTAAGGCTTGCTAATTGACCAAAAGTTGGGCAGTTAAAGCCCCCCAGCTGCTCTGCAGGAGAAAGATAAGGCTTCCAGCAAGATTACAGCTCGGGGGTAGAAGGGAGCTCTGGTGGCCTAGAGGCAAGATCTGCACTGCAAAGGCATGAAATTCAAATCCACCAGATACTATGCTGGAGAAGGAGGGGCAATCGCCATACCAGTCAGATCCAATTCCACGGTACACAACAACAACAACATTACAGCCTTGGAAATTCCTAGACAATTCCACTCTGGTAGCCTAATGATAAAACGTTGCACTGCAATCTCAAAGGCACACAGTTTGAATCCACCAGCTAGCTGCTCCGCTAGAGAAAGATGGGCAATCTCCCATGCAATTAACTGCCTTGGAAAACCCCTGAAGGGTCAGCTACGGGTCAGTTCTGAGTCGATAGTCAACAAACAACAACCTCCAGGGTCACTAAATCAGAGCTGTCTTGATGATAATGTGATTTTTTTTAAAAATTTATTTATTTGTGTGTGTGTATGTGTATCATGAAATCAGATCTGACTGGTACAGGAGGAGATGATTGTAATGGAATTTTGCAGCACATTTCGGCTCCAGGACACACAGATTTGCTGCTGCTGTTTGTGTGGAGTACTTGGGTGTGCAAACGGTTAAGTGTTGGGCTACTGTCCATCAAACTGAGGTGTGAACCCATCCAGGGGGAAAAAACCTCCTCAAACTCTTTGCTGTCACGTTGGAAGTGACTCATAGCTGACCCTCCAGCAGGTTTTCAGAGGCTGTAAATCACATGGGAGGAGACGGCCCATCTTTCTCCTGCAGAGCGACTGATGGATTTGAATCATGGGCCTTCGGGATTGCAGTGCAGCTTCTTGCCACTAGGCCACTAGAGCTCGCTCCTTTAACTCTTTGGAGTCACCAGGAAAGAAAGGCCTGGTTGGTGATTTGTTCCCAAAGGGCCATATCACTGAAAACTATGGAGCACATTTCTATCCTGACGCATACAGGGTCACCATGAGTCACAATCGACTTGATGGCAATTGGTTTGGTCTTTTATTTACATTTGTTGTTACTCAAATGTGAACTAACTCTTTAATATCTACAGCAGGCCTGGCATGAAAATCTTAGTTGCATTAAAGAATGAATTGGGTTAAGTGTATTGGATTTTAAAAAAAAAACCACAAAAAAACGAAACTAAACCAAAAACCAACCAACCAGCCAAAACGCCTTTAGGACTTTGATTTGAATGTGTCAGAGCAGGAAAAGACTGTCTCAGACCTGATGCTGACAAACGTCTAAAACGTCATTCTGATGGGGAAGTGCTGATGATATATAGGTTTATACAGAGGAAAGACCTGAATGAGACGGATTGATACAGTAACTGAAATAATGGGGATAGGTGTGTCAGGTCCTTGCATGGTACAGAGAGCTAAAGCACTCCACTGCGAAGCAAAACATTAAAAATTTTCTCAAAAACAAAACCAAACCTCAAACCCACTACTGTGGAATCAGAACTAACACATCAGAACCCTCCAGTAGGTTTTCAGAGGCTGTAAAATGCACAAGAGTAGATTGTCCAACTTTCTTTTGTGAAGCAGCTGCAGCTAGTGGTTTTAAACCCTCAGCCAGGCATGGCCTTGGAGTTACCAGGCCTGTTGACTTCAGAAAACTCAGCCTCTGAAAATCTATGGATCACATTTCTACTCCAACACTCATAGAGTTATCATAAGTCAGAATAAATTTGATGACAATGTCTATTTTTTTAGAGATAGGTCACATGGAACCTAAAAATAATACTAAAATGTATCATGTTCTTTATTATAAATTCCAAACAGTAATTTGATCATTCTGAGTTTTTGATCAGCAGCACAACATGCTGGAGACTGACTACACCACCAGAGTCCTTCACAATTGAGTGCTTCTGACCTCCTATAACCACAGTCAAGGTCCAGTTACATTTCAGCCATGATCTGACAGCTGGAACTGATGCTAATGAATTTTTCCAAAGAATACATTGTTATTAATTTGGACACATGGTCTACTGTTAAACTGTTTTTCACTCAGTACAAATTCTATTCAGGAAAAGGAAGTTTTCTCCAAAAGTGCCAGGACAACTGATTACAATAGTTACCTTTTTAGGTTCTTGATAAGTTCAGAGATTGGAGTAAACTTTGATTCTGTATGACTTAATAATGGCTGGGTTTAACAGTCAGTTCCCAGTGTTCCTGAAGATGTACCAGTCAGCCCCAGTACATCCCTGGTGACCCCTGGCCTAGGGCCAGGATAGGACAAATCCCACTCTGTCCCTCTCTCAGCCTGGAGAGGAACATCACTTCCTCCATTTTACAGATGTGAAAACAGGCTCAGAAATGAAGGGACACCAGGTCCAGCTGCTTCTACTGCCTCTGTTCTTCCCACATTTTAATTTGTGGACCCTCAGTAACAGGTGCTGGTACATAAGGAGAAGTTTCCATTTCTGTTCTCTGAGAGTTCTGGAGGTGGGGGTAAACAGGAGGTGCTCAGGCTGAACCCACACAAACACGGTGCCCTGTGTTTTGAAAGTCTCTGGTTCTGGTGAGCTCTGGTGGCCTATTGGCAAGAAGCTGCACTACAACCCCAGAGGTGAGTGATTTGAATCCACCAGATGCTCTGCTGAAGAAAGAAGGACCATCTCCTCCTGTACCAGTCAGATCTGATTTGACGGTGTACACACACATAATAATAATAATAATAATAATAATAATAATAATAAT